AGGCCAGACGTCGGAACAAACAGCGCGGCAACATGTTATCGTTCGCCGCGGGAGGTGCGGCGCAAGCGGCGAGGCTCGCAAAGGGGCGCGCCGCCACTAAGGGGGTGGCGCACCCACACGGAGGGCTGGTGGCGCGCCAGGGAGGGCGGGGGGGAAGGCTTCTTGGAAGGAGGCCGTTTCTTAGAAGGCGCTGGCCCTACATCTACAGACACCCGCGCCTTCCAAGGAAGAGGGGTGTTTCTAAGAAGCCCCCCCCCCTTCCCCTGCCCCCCATCTGCGCGTGGTCGAGAGGGGGAGCAGTTTATCTTAGGGCCTGGCGCCCAGGGCCTGGGAATGACAGGATGCCTTGAGGCGGGCGTTCTGCGCCCACAACGAATTCCCGAAGGCGCCCCATATCCAATCAACCCTACCAGCCCTTTAGGGCGCGAGTGGTTTAGAGCATTTCCTCTTGTAACCTCCATTTACCCCTTCGTGGAAGGGTTTTGTCATCAAAAAAAACTCCCACAGGTGACGCGCAGCCAACCCAGACCAATGAGCCCCTCACAGCATCCATTGCAAAAGGAAGCAAAACAACATACACTTTGCCTCCAAACCTGGCGCATGCGCGGGCGCCCCGCGACCATGTTGAAAGTGACGGCGGGGGTGCCGGCAGAGTACTTGCTGCATGCTGGCCAACGTTCCCTGACAAAAACAAGAAACCTGTGGCTCCAACAAATCTGGAGCATGCGCACAGCCCTGTTTTCTCTGAGCTCCCATCTATTTAACGACTTCATCTATTTCACGACTATTTCTCTCGCACTCTCACTCCGATTAGTGCACCCTGCTCATTAAGAACCGCTCATCGGCCTGGCTTCAGAGTTAACGGTGTAATCGCGGACTCCAGCTGTGTTGGTGTCTCTCGAAGTATATGCAGCGCTGCAGTGGCGGGCAGCCGCTACGCACCCTTCTGCCTCAAGATGGCAATCATCGTCGAGTGGGGCGAGCTGGTCAACCAATTTCCATGGGCAGACATCTGCCTCTTCTTCGATGACCCCGCCATGGCCACACACGGCACCCGCGAGTTCGTCTAGCACTTCCACCCGCTGCTCATCGCAGCGGTGATCAACATGCTCGAGGTGACCCTGGACGTGTTGGCCTCGCGCGGCGAGGGGGGCATCACGGTCATGCTGACCTCCACCACGACGCTGGGCCACAGCATCGGCACCGACTCGCAGCGCTTGGGGGTCCGAGTTG